AATTAATTTGAAAACGATGAAATAAATGTGGATTATGGTTTGGATTTACTAGAATTTCGGTGTATTTTTTATTGAAATTATTTGTTAATTAATGGATTTTTTTCTGAAATTACTAGAATTCTTTTTAGAATTATCGGAGATAATTTATTTTAAAAATTATGTTGTATTTTTAGAATTAATTTGGAATTGTGGAATTAATCTAAAAACAATGGAATTACGATGAATTACGTATTGGATTCACTGAAATTTTGGTGGATTTTTTTGAAATTATTGCAATAATTTGTGAATTACTGAAATTTTTGTGGAATTACTGGAATTTTGTTTGAAATTACTGAATTTTTTTGAAATCACTGGACTTTTTTTGTAATTATCGGAGATAGTTTCTTTTCAAAATTACGTTAAATTTCTTAGAACTATCGGAGTTAACTCGGAATTACAGGAATTATTTTGGAATTTCGAAAATTAAGTTAGAAATAAGCTAGAATTACAGGAATTAATTTGAAAACGATGAAATTAATGTATATTACGTATTGGATTTACAGAAATTTCAATGTTTTTTTTAATCACTGAAATTATTTGTTAATTACAGATTTTTTTCTGCAATTACTGGAATTCTTTTTAAAATTATCGGAAATAATTTATTTTCAAAATTACGTTGATTTTCTTAGAACTATCGGACTTAATTTGGAATTACAGGAATTGTTTTGAAATTACGGTGGATTATTAGAATTAATGGAATTATAACAATTTTACTGGAATTTTTGGTTGATATTTTTTGGAATTGGAATTAGTTACTGTTTTTTGGTTCCAAACGTTTTTACAGGTTGTATACTTCTTGTTACTACTCCAGTTTTTTAATTCTAAGTTGAATTTCAATTCAAAACCTTTAAAATTGTCTAATTTACTGCTGACTAAAATATACTAATCTTCTTGTAATATTTTTTCAGATTTCGCGTAAAGTGGTAAGATTTTGCAAAAAAATCAATATTTTATAAATTGTGAATATCAACTTCCTATGAATGCTTTTCCACCCACCACAACACAAGCAAGATAACTTTTAACAAAACAAAAGGTCACAGTTCTGGGACGCTCTATGAATTTGTAAGTAATATTTCAAGAAGATAGAGGCAATGTTTTCAAAAAGATAAACCCGACAATAATCACAGAATTCAGGATGTTGCGATAAAAAGACTAAAAATATCTCAAAATCGCCAAACATTTTTTTAAATTTCGCATCCAAAAATAATTTGTCACTAGCTAGAAAACTTTGCAAGAAGTAAACACAGTATCGCGATTTTTATTAATAAATCCATTAAATTGAAACCATAAATTGCCCTTATCGCTGAAGAATAACATATTTAATTAGCACCAAACAAGTAAATTATTATATTCGCTCGAGTTTTCATTAATTAATTTGAAAAAAAAATTCTTTAATCGAAATCACGCAACGATCATCGGATTGGCAATGTTTATGCCTAAATTGTTTCCAGTTTTGCGGGAAAAATGCCTTAGAAACAGGCTCACATGTGGCCCACAATCAAAAAATATTTCCACGATAAGATAAATTTGGAAGAATCCGAGTTCATTGGTCAAAATTAAAAATGCAAAAATTGATTTTGGAAAAATAATAAAGTGTTTAACACTACCTTAAATAGGAAAGCCATGTCTGAGAACAGTCGGAAATAATTTACAAACACTGGAACCACCGCTTTCCGGCGTAGCTGGAACCACTTTGTTTAATTTTGCTCAACTGCCCACGCTTTAAACAAATTATAATTATATAGGACAAAATCAAGTTCCAAGTCCAATAATAATTATTAGTAATAACTGATAAGCATTTTTGATCACGCCTGCAAATGAAGTAAGACTGGGAGTGTGTCTTGAATTTGGTTACACACGGAAGTATATTCTAGTCATATTTGTATAATTCTTATCTCATTCAAATGTGATTTATTATTGTTGTAATTATCGGTTAATAATTTTATAACAAATTTTACATTTTTCGATAGAAGCACTGACCTTTAAGACGTAACCGAATAGTTTAATAGTAGAAAAATAAAATTCCTGAAAATGTTGCAAAACTGGACAAAGTTCCAATTTATTTCAATAAAACCAAAATTGTCTAACTTTTATTTACATTTTTACAAGTTTAATGACCCATCTATCTATTATTGTTTATATCAGACGAATATTTTCCACATTTCTTAAGAATTATTTTCTTAAATTTTCTACGAGTTATTTTTAATTTTTATCAACTGGATTATAGTAAATACTCACTTTTGTGACCTTTTGTAAGTATATGCGACCATTTTAAAAGAACTGAAATTCAACTAGCATTTTCACTTTCAGGCTTATCAAAAAATACTGTAAAGTATTTTTATTATTTCATAAGGTATAATAAAACAAAATAAACTAAAACATTTCAGTATTACTTTGAAAATCTGGAATCACGTGAATACTAGAGTTTGAATTTGGAAAATTCAAGTGTTAAATGTTTTTTCTTAATTTTATATTTTTAATTGTGTTAAAGTTTAATTAAACAATGCTGATTATTCTGCGACAAAACATTGTTTATAACACATATCTTTCCCTTGTTAATGCTATTTTGCAAATAAAGTGTAATAAACCAATTAAAATCGCTTTATTACTAGCAAAATGTAGCAATAATAAGAATTTATCACTTTATGTATTTGGTTAAACAAAATTGCAAAAAATCAAAATTTTTGAAATAATAAGTGCAAAAACTTCGCAACTTTGTAATTCTGCAAGTAATGATTTATAAGCAGTCTAGAATAAATAAAATTTGTGATTAACTAAAAAAAGTAAAAAAAGGAATTTAGAATTTTGTTCCTCTTAACAACAAGCCTTGACTTTGAACTATATTACAAAAATCATCTGACTTATTAGATAATAGTTAAGACCCTACG